TTTTTTTTTTTTTTTTTTTTGGTGGTACGCGGGTGTCTCAGTGCCGTGGCCTCTGCCGCTGTGCAGCACAGGCTCCGGACGCGCAGGCCCAGCAGCCATGGCTCACGGGCCCAGCCGCTCCACGGCACGCGGGATCCTCCCAGACCAGGGCACAAACCCATGTGCCCTGCACCGGCAGGCAGACTCTCAACCACTGCGCCACCCGGGAAGCCCTGTTGTTTACTTTTAATACTTAAAATAATTTGATCATTGGCACATTACACGTGTGCGTGTGTGTGTGCACGTGCACACGTGGGTGTATATATGCAATTATATGTGTGTATATATGTGTGTGCATATATATGTGTATATATATATCTTTGAGGGAGATCATCACATGCTTTATATTTGCATGAAATTATTAGAGATTCAAAATATCTCAAACAGTAAGAAAACAATGACTCAGTGTGAAGGTTAATAAAACAAGAAAAAGTGGTTCATCAGGGATGATGATAAATCAATCCCGTATGGACATTTCTTTTCCCCCAGGTTCAAAGCGATTTTTTAAATTGAGGTATAGTTGATTTACAATTGTTCAGGTATACAGCAAAGTGATTCAGTGTTTTTTATATATATATATACACACACATATATATTCTTTTTCAGATTCTTTTCCCTTATAGGCTATTACAAGATATTGAATATAGTTCCCTGTGCTATACACTAGGTCCTGGTTGTTTACCTATTTTATACATAGTATTGTGTACCTGTTAATCCCAAATTCCTAATTTATCCCGCCCTTCTCCTTCCCCCTTTGGTAGCCATAAGTTTGTTTTCTATGTCTGTGAGTCTATTTCTGTTTTGTAAATAAGTTCATTTGTATCATTATTTTTTTAGAGTCCACATAGAGTGATATTTGTCTTTCTCTGTCTGACTTGACTTCACTTGGTATGATAATCTTTAGGTCCATCCACGTCAGCATGAACATTTAACTTGTGACTATTTCAAGTACAGATTTAGTTCTCAGAACAAACATTGGCTCTACATAAAGATGACCCATACCTAAATCCTCAAATCCTGTTATAAGATAATCTTTATGAACCTCACACAGGCTTTTATGCTGAGAAATTTATGCTTAATAAATCCCATGACACACCTAGAACATAAGTTCCCTGAAGATGGGTCTTTGCTGCGTTCAGAGCTGTACCCACTGTACCTAGAAAGTGCTCAGTGCACAGCAGGTCTTCCTGAATATGTGTTGTGTGAATAAATGAACTGAGCACCAAGACAGACATGGCTCCCCGATTTCTCACAATACCTGGCATAAACATTATATGTATTGTCCCGTGTAAAAGAGCATCATTAAAATTATTGAAATGTATTCCATGACTTCTATCTTGGCTTTGTTCCAAAGTGATATATTGGCTGTATTTCAAACATAATTTTAGTTAGTCTTAATTAATATTACGGACTCTGAAAAGGAAAGTCTTAAGTCCTCTCTGATGCCTCAATAACGTGATACCATGTACACTCTCTACTTTGCAGTTTCAATGTTAGGCTATTTTTAGCATTATAAAAAGAGTCTTATGGTTAATATTAATAGTTGCCCCACATGGAAAATTTTAACAATAATTCTCTCTTAATTTAATACTCAAGGGGCCAAAATATACCTATTCATCAATCGCTTAAGCTTGGTGGCAGAATGAGATTTTCTAGCAGCTGAACTCCCAGAAGTCATTATCCTACCAATTTGTCAATGCTTGTTATAAATGAAAACAGCACGTCCCCTGTTAACAGGGTGACTATATCAGATAGTAATTATAACCTTAAGTGACAAAAACATATTCACTCTACATGCACTAATGAATGCTGACGATGGACTGAACTCTTGCAAATGTCACACTACATCAGAATCACTTACACGTGTCTGTTGACAAATGCCATATGGCCAGTCTGCCGTTAGATAGTTCAGATAATTGCGACAATGCATTATCGAGGCTGGAGATCAAGCGCAAGAGAAGTGGAAACACACCCAGAAAAACCTATGAAGCCATGACTCAGAAAACAAAAACACTAACCTGCCTCCTCAGTTCTTACTTTTTCTGAGGGTAAACTGGGTTCTCCACCTCCGATTTTGTTATTGGCTACAACCCGAAATTCGTATTCCACCCATGGATTTAACTCGACTACCGTAGCCGTGTGTGTTTTCCCATCAATGACCTCAGGCACTACAAAGGAATATTTCAGAGAGGTAAACGTCTGCACGTCTTAGGGTTGACCTGAAATCCATACATATGTACCGGTGGCATTTGCCTCTCCCCCTTTACCTGTTGTGGCCGTCTGCCAACCCACGGAGAAAGGGGTCCGTGCCTGGACAGAATAGGATATAACTGGGCTGTGGTTGTCTGTACCTTCTTTCCAAGAGAGTTGGGCTGTTGTATCTGTAATTTCATCTACCTTTACGTCTTCTGGTGGTCCAGGTGAACCTAAGGCAAAAATGCAAACGATATTTAGCAGTTCCATAAATGTCATTCTCTTCTACCAATGTGAAGAACATGCCCCATAGCACTTGAACCCCTTCGACGGATCCCAATTTCAAAAGCACTTAGGGAAAAAGGACATGTACCTGGCAACAAAACTTCCACTTTTTTTCTTTCACATTCCTGTTGCTAGATATTAAATCTGCATTTTGAGCCATGAATTCCAAAGGCAGAATACTCCACAACTGCAAATGAAACCTGCTTTTTGAGCCCTCTTTTCAGCAG